AAGCAACGTTAGGCCAACCGATGACACAATCCGACTCCGTCACCCACTTGCACAAAATCTCACTTGCAATCCACTCTGCCGCGCCTATCAGCTGAGCTACAAACAAAGGGAATATAGGACAGGAAAGGGTGGGGCCGGGTGGGCGGGGCCAACTGCTGACCAGCAGAACCGGATCGCTAGAACCGGTGCGAACTGGCAGCACAGCACCACTGACTCAGTTCCACCCAACCCTCCTTCCCAAAGACTGCTGGCTCCAAGGAGGGAAGCCACTCACGTAATCCGTGCCGTATTCTTTGTCCGTCTTCCTTTTTTTGCTACCGTTCAAGTAATCTGAAATGGCTCGCATCCTTTCTCCGTTCGACAGCATTAAAGAGCTCTGCAGGAGGGAAAGCCAATGTCAACTCCTAAAATATTTCCCTGGCCTTTTTAAGAGTTGCCAGCGGAAAGGGAGGGGGGGAGCAGTGCGGCAGCTTGCAAACCGAAAGTGCATTCCATAAATAGTTTTCAAAGTTAGTAACTAGGTGACTGAAGTTTCTGCCACACAAAATTCTAACTGGAGAACACGACTGATGACTCTGGGCTATGGATGTATCCCATTGGAGGATATACACCCCGGGGATGGGGGAAAACCAGGGTCAAGGGTGACAATGAACGATGTGTCTCAGAGTCGGCTCCACCCAGGCAGTGCCTGACATGTTAACTCCCGATAAATCCTTTTGAAGTTTTGGAAGTTTGGCTCGAGACTCGTGGTTTAAACGGGGGTAACTGGCGGAGCCCTGACAGCCGAAGGGACATAAACTTTCAGCAGCGTTCAGATAACACACTAAGCCAGCGAGTGTTCCCCCCCCCCCTCAAAAATACAGGCCGTGTCTGACTTACGACCACAATCGGCTCCAGGATTGCTAAGCAAGGTGGCGGTTAAGTAAGCCATACCCGGTTTTACAATCTTTTTGCCCCCACGGTTGTTAAGTGAATCACTTTAGCTGTTAAACGAACCACGTGCTTGTAAAGGGAACTGGCTTCCACCATTGACTTGGGGATCTCACAAAAGTTGATCACAGGACCCCTCCAGGACATAAATGCCAAATATACATGCCAAGGGACTTGAATGTTGATCACGTCAAAAATTCTGGGGATGCTGCAACGGTCATAAGTGTGAGGAGCAGCCGTAAGTCACTTTTTTCAGTGGGTTAATAAACCGCTAAACCTCAACTTACAAACCATGGTTGAGGATCCTCAAGTATCTTATTGCCCTGTTTTGACTGTAGCCTAACCTGCTGTGAAAAAAATCTGTGGGTTATTTAGCAGAGAAAAAAAAAAAGAATAAGTCTATACAGGTTAGTCCTCGACCTACGACCACAACTGAGACCAAAATTTCTGTTGTCAAGGGAGGTCTTTGTGAAGTGAATTTTGTTCTGTTTTACTACCTTTCTTGCCACAGCTTTTTAGTAAATCACTGCAGTGGATAACTAATTGTGATAACCCGGGGCGTGGCACAAAGGCAATACAGTCAAAATAAGCAATAAGAGTCTTTTTATTATCTCCAACTTTGCCCCCAGTGTCCAGGTGCTAGAGAAAAACTCTCCCAGGAACAGCCTTTAGCTGTAGAAAATTTAGTACAAAACAAGGTACACACAAACTGTAACTTAAAGTCCAAACAAGCCAAACTGAAGTAATTAGCTTGACAGGGCAGGAGCAGGAATTTCAAACTTGAAAGCACGGCAAAACTCACGCAGTTGGGAAGATGCCAGGAACATAGATAAGCCACACGATACCCAATAAATTCAGGCTTGCTCCCAACAGTTTGCTGCACACAGCTTGCCTTTTTTATACACTGTGCTCCCAGCTGCAGCTAATGAAGGGAATCAGGGCCCTTTCCTCCCCCGTAAGCCAAACAACCCACGTTGCTTTCTTCTCCATTCCTCCCTGCGTGCCCTAGGGCGAAGAGGGGGTGAGCCTGGGTCTTCCTCCGAATTCCCTCTCCCTTGCTCTATCTCTCCCCTGCTCTGCCCAGCTGGACTTTGCCCTTCCCCAGTTTCTTCCACAGCCAACGGAGCCACTTTCCCACTCCCTGTCAGCTGTTCGGCTTCCTCTTCCAAGTCAGATTCTGACAGGGGCATGACGCTAATAGTAACATAGTTGTTAAGTGAATCTGCCTTCAAAGTGTTGACTTGTCTTGTCAGAAGTCGCAAAAGGGGATCACGTGACCTTGGAACACAGCAACGGTCGTAAGTGTGAATCAGCTGCCATTTTGATTACATGATCATGGGGAGGCTGCAAACATTGTAAGTGTGAAAAATTTAGACACTTCTGAACCGGAACGGGAAGGATAATGATTTCATTATGGGTGAGTTCCCAGGACATTCTCTATTAAAGCTAATTGCGGATCAACGAGCTTGTCCCTTATTTTAACAGTGGTGTTTTGTTAATCTACACTTACTGTGCGGGGTGAATTGCTTCACTGAGCAACCAGGGTAAAGGTACAATTCTAGATTTACACGCTTGAGAACATGTGGATTTAGGAGTGCAAAAGACTGGAGTGTGGATCAGTGTGTGTGTGTGTGTGTGTGTGTGTGTTTGGATAGAATCTGTAAACCTTTGAAAGGTCTGTTTAAAGTTTAAAGCTTCTCCCACACAAGTCACTTTTGATTTAAGGGCAGCCTCTGGGGGAATCAAACGGACGACTAGCGACTAGCGGGAAATGTGCACCCTAGCACATCACATCGCTGCACAACTTGGGTGTTATAGCTGTAACAAAGCAGAGACAGCAAAAGAGTGAAGGAAAGGGGAAGGAAGAGAAAGAAGGAGAGGGAGGGAGGATGGAACGGACGGAAGGAGAAAGGAGGGGGGGTCACACACAATAGATCAAAAAAGCAAACAAAAGAATGGAAAAGTGGAGGAGAAAGGAAAGGAATTGATGAAGAAGGAAAGGGGAAGAAAGAGGGAAGGGGAGGGGAATGGATGGGCCGGGAAGGGGAAGGGAAGAGAAAGGATGAGAAAGGGAAGGGGAAGGGAAGAGGGAAGGGAAGGTAAGAGAAAGGATGAGAAAGGGAAGGGAAGGAAAGCGAAGATGAGAAAGGGAAGGGAAGAGGGAAGGGAAGGGAAGGGAAAGGGAAGGGAAGGAAAGAGGGGAAGGGAAAGATGCTTGGTAACGGATTCATACTTATGACTGTTGCTGTGTCCCAAGGTCATGTGATTCCCTTTTGCAACCATCTGACAAGCAAAGTCAATGGGGGAAGCCAGATTCGCTTAACAACCGGCTTACTAACTTATCCACTGCAGGGATTCACTTAACAACCAAGGCAAGAAAGGTCGTAAAACAGGGCAAACCTCACTTAACAAATGCCTCACTTCAACAACAGAAACTTTGGGCTCCACGGTGGTCGTAAGTCGAGGACTAGCTGCCCGTCACCAAGAAAGCATCCCAAATTTTGATCCTGTGACCGTGGGGATGGCTGCTTGGGTCGTAAGTGCGAGGACCAGGGGTAAGTCAAAGGGGCATTTTTTCCCCCCTCCTGCCAACCTCCTTCCTGCTTATTCCCAAGACAAAAAGGAAATTCCTCCCCCTCCAAGGAAAGCATTGATCGTTGTTTCTCCTTTTTGTGATTTTTGCCTTCTCGCTTTGCTTGGCAAAGGAAAAATTCTGCGCTGGATTGATGAATTCGTCACCCCCGAGGGTACACGTTTTCGGACAGAGCCTCCGAGTCGAGAAACCTGGGGGGGGCTCAGCCTGCAGAATCTGGTCCAGAAAGATCCCCAATTATCTGCATTCAGGACCAAAAAACCCCAAGGAAATTTCAATTTGTCAGATTTTTATGCAGGATGCTTAGTCCTTATTCCTTGATTGTCCCTAATTAGTTGCATTAAGATGCCAAAAAAAAAACCCAGCAAATTTCAAATGGTCAGATTTTTGTACAAGCTGCTTAGTCCTCATTCCGTGATTGTCTCCCAATTATTTGCATTAAGATGCCAAAAAACAGCAACTCTCAAATGGTCAGATTTTTGTGCAAGCATCTTGGTTCTTATTCCTTGATTGTCCCAAATTATTTGCATTAAGATGCAAACCCCCCCCCAAAAAAACCCCAGCAATTCCAGATTTTTATGCAAGCTGCTTGGTCCTTATTGCTTGATTGTCCCTAATTATTTGCATTAAAGATGAAAAAAAAAAAAACCCAGCAAATTTCAAATTGTCAGATTTTTGTGCAAGCTGCTTGGTCCTTATTGCTCGATTGTCCCTAATTATTTGCATTAAAGATGCAAAAAAAAAAAAAAAAACCCAGAAAATTTCAAATTGTCAGATTTTTATGCAAGCTGCTTGGTCCTTATTCCTCGATTGTCTCTAATTATTTGCATTAAGATGCAAAAAAAAAAACCCAGCAAATTTCAAATTGTCAGATTTTTGTGCAAGCTGCTTGGTCCTTATTCCTTGATTGTCCTTAATTATTTGCATTAAGATGCAAAAAAAACACAACCCAGCAAATTTCAAATTGTCAGATTTTGTGCAAGCGCCTTGTTCCTTATTCCTGGATTGCCTCGTGTATATATATAAATAAATAAATAAAACTCCATTGGAGATAAACAGCCTTTTCCTAGTCTCTTTGGTTCACAGCCTCTCTTCCCTGCTGGGGGCTAGGCGGAAGGAAAAACAATTGGGAGGGGCAGGGTGCAGAGAAAGAAAGGAGGGAGGGGGGAAGCAAAGATACTTACCGGCCCAGGGTCTCTCTCTGTCACCATGGCAACATGGAATGGCAACAAGGCAAGAAGAGAAGGGTTTTAGTGTCAAAATACCAAAAATGTCACTCATCCCGGCCTGCAACTGTACATAGAAAACACCCTCCCACAACGGTACAAAAATGTAAAAATTAAATTATCACGGGGTTGCGCTTCTCCGCCTCTTTAATTTGGAGGAGGTTGGGTGGGTGGTTCAAGGGCATTTGGGAAGGAGGAGCTCCCCCCAAATTGATGCATTTCCCCCCCTCTCCCTTATTCCTTGTCAAAATTGCACCCCTAAAATTATTCATATTGGAAGGCTGGCATTCGTCTCGGGGGGCCAGCAATAAGTGAGACCGGGTGATTAGTGTGGAAAAGCACTCTGAATTCTCTTCTCCCCGACTGCTGGCACAGGTAAACTTTTGCAGCCCATAATCTAAGAAATATGGGTAGTCCTCGACTTACGACCGGGAAAATTTGTCGCTATAAGGGGGCAGCCGCAAAGCGAAGCATCATGATTTTTACAGGCTTTTTTCTGGTGTTCAGCGAAGTGATGATCTCTTTTTCTTTGCTGTTAAGTCTGATTACGGGAATCACTGCGGTCGTTGAGTGAGACATCACACTGTAATGATCTGCAACCTTCCCTGTCAGCTTTTCCCATTGGCTTTGCTTGCCAGAAATAAGCTGGGAAGGTCACGAGGGGTGATCACGCGACCGCAGGACGCTGCAACCAACATGTGTGCCAAAGACTGGTCCTATGTTAATTTTGTTGGCGCCATTTTAACTTCAAAAGGTCTCTAATTGAATGGTCGTAAGTCGAGGACTACTTGTAGCTACATTGCAAATTGTCCATTAGTAAATTACCTAACGTGAACTAAATCAGAGGTGTCTAGCCTTGGTCACGAAGACTTGGGAGACTTCAATTCCCAGAATTCCCCAATTCCTGGAATTCTGGGAGCTGAAGTCCCGAAGTCTTAAAATTTGGGCACCCTTTGAGTTAAATACACTGAATGAAATAAATAAATGAGCAAGTAACAGCAAACTCAAACAGCTATCTAGCCAGCTGCTCCACATTCATACCTCTTTTACTTTTAGGAGCTGTTGACATTTTTCCCCCCATTACCCCATTTCTAAATTTTGATTGGGAGCCCCTAAATTCCCACCTTATAAAGCGCATTTCACAAGGAATACACACAAGCAAAACAGACTTTTTAAGATCAGTGCATTCTTTCAAACCGACTCAAAACACCAGTGCTGTATTCCTCAAACCTGGGATGCAGACTTCAACGTCCAGAATTCCCAAACCAGCGTGATTTTTCCTCCCAATATCAGACAATGTGAGCTAGTCACCTTCTTGGCAGAATCATTTTAAACTAGACATTCAACGTTTCTGCATAATTAGGGGAACCACAATGAAAGCCCACAAGTTGCAGCAATGTTTCTTGAACAGGGCAGCTTTTAAAGACATTTTAAAGAATTTAAGAATTCGGGGACCTGAAATTTATGAATGTTGGCTGGGGGATTCTGGGAGTTGAAGTCCACAAATGCTGGTGAGGGAATTCTGGGAGTTGAAGTCCACAAATAGTGGCTAGAACATTCTGAGAGTTGAAGTCCACAAATGCTGGCGAGGGAATACTGGGAGTTGCAGTCTACAAATGCTGGCGAGGGAATTCTGGGAGTGGAAGTCCACAAACAGTGACTAGAGCATTCTGGGAACTGAAGTCCACAAACAGTGACTAGAGTATTCTGGGAATTGAAGTCCACAAACAGTGACTAGAGCATTCTGGGAATTGAAGTCCACAAATGCTGGTGAGGGAATTCTGGGAGTTTTGTCTACAAATGCTAGCTAGGGAATTTTTTGGGGGGGGAATTGAAGTCCACAAACAGTGACTAGAGCATTCTGGGACTTGAAGTCCACAAATGCTGGTGAGGGGATTCTGCGACTTGAAGTCCACAAACTGTGGCTAGAGAATCCTGGGAGTTGTGTCTACAAATGGTAGCTAGGGAATTCCGGGAGTTGAAGTCCACAAATGTTAGCTACGGAATTCTGGGAATTGAAGTCCACACATGCTCACTGGACAATTCTGGGAATTGAAGTCTGCACACTTTAAATTTGCCAGGGTTGTCCTGCTAGATCCAGCCTTCCCTCCCTCCCCCATTTAAGCAAATTTGATCGATCAGGAAAAATCTTTTATAGCTCACTCTCTCAAAGAATGAAGAACCAAGGTTATCTGGAAGAACCTACCTCGGTCGGCATCGAGAAGCCCTCGGTCATCCTTGGCAACCAGGTGGGCCTGCGTCCCCAATGCTCCTGACAGAGCCAGCAGCCCGGAAGCGCTTCCGAGGCCGGAGAGGCTGGCCGACTGGACGCCAGAAGGGTGAGGGGTCAGCGGGATGGGGGGCGCGTGATGGGAGAGGTGCTGAGCTTGGAGCTGGTGCTGGGGAGACAGAAAGGGATGAAAGAGCCTTAGAGGTCGACCAACCGTGGTTTTTTTGTATTGTTTAGAGAAGCGCTGTTTTGGTTCTATGTTTGCATGTTAACGTTTTGAAGTTTCCCTTTGGTATTTATTTGATTTCTTAAATCCTGCCTTTAATACTTTGTAAGTAACTCAAGGCAGCTAACATATCTAGTCATCCTTCTTCCCAATAATTTCCCAACAACAATCACCCTGTGAGGTGGGTTTGGCTGAGAGTGAGGAACTAGAATTCACTG